TGTGTGTGTGTGTGTGTGTGTGTGTGTGTGTGTGTGTGTGTGTGTGTGTGTTTTCCTAGGGACTGAACCCAGGGCCTTGCTCTTGCCAGGCGGGAGCTCTACCACTGACCCACACTCCCAGCCCCCCTTTACTTTGTATTTTGTGACAGTCTCACTTTGTTGCTGGCGGGTCTTCCGTTCACTCTGTAGCCTGGGCCTCTCCAGAACTTGCAACACTCTGGCCCCAGCTTCTTGAGTATCTGGGATTAGAGGCCTGCACCACCAGGCCAGCTAGCATCCTTTTCTTTAATATGGACCTAAGCATTTCCTTAAGCTGTATGGTGAGTGTTACTAGAGACAATGCATGTGAACCCCTGGAGCATGGCGGCACAGTGAGTGCCTGATGAACCTCAGCTTTGATGGTGACCATGCATCTTCAGCCCTGAACACCAGCAGCAGCCAACCTTCCGGCTTCTACCTGTTGCAACACATTTCAAGGCATGCTCAGAGGGCAAGGAGGGCGAAGAGGACACAGCACAGGGAGACGAAGGAGAGGCGCAGAACAGGAGGAAAGGAACCGGTTCACGGGAGGGACCGGGTGCCACATCCTGCCTCTTTCCTCTCTAGCAGGGAACCGGAACCCTAGCTGTTTCTCACCTTCGCTTTAATCCTCTGTTCCCTCAACTTCTCCTTTTCATTGCTCTGTGGAAGACGAATACAAGTTTTCTAGTCTCAGAAATAAGGGATGAAATCATTAACAATTCCTAAGTACTTACATCTCTATTTTTGATAAAAGGGGCCATGCATACCTTTTTTCTATGAATTAAATACCCTTCTTTTAAGGAATAGGGCTAAACTCACAAACCTGTGCCCAGTATACTCCGGTACAGACAGCAAAGCCACACTGTCAGGATCAACACCCGGGCGCTTCATTCTGACTCAGCTAACAATGTGGAGCCACTCCGGGAAACCCCAAGAAATAATCAAATTTCGAATCCCATATGCAGTAGGAATAAACAAACTTACACTACACCTAAATATGAAGTCTGTTCTCACTTCAGACATGCAGAAGAGATAGCCCCACTCTTGTTAGTCTGCTTTCCAAAGTTCATCAAGTTCACATTAATGTGAAACTTTAAATATTGTACTTCAATAAAATTTAATGATAGATCCTTGCCCTGGAATTACACTGGTCTCGCATTTCTAAAGGAGACAGTTTCTCTGAAGTGCAGCAGGAAGTCAAAGCAGGTTGGAAGAAACCAAGTCAGAGGAAGGGGCTACAAGCATCACTGCTGGCGACCTGGACTGACAGTGATTCAGGTACTGCGCAGCATTACCTGGGAAGCAACATGGCTAGCACCTGTTCTTTGTTGACAAGGTTCATTTCTTCAGTGTGCTTCAAGAACTACCTGTAAACCAGGTGTCTTGATGACCACGCTAATCAAGAACCAAACGGATAATTTCCAAACTATTGCAACTGAATCACAAATATGTAAAAAGCATAATGCACACAGTCTATTTGCCCACATCCACATTCCTGGCCCCAATAGCCCCCCCCCACCCCGAAAGTTCTAGTTCACTAGGTAAACAGCAGCCTGGGAAGCTGTACCTTGAGAAGCCCCACCCCCAAGTGGTTGCTGTGCAAATGAGTGAATGAGTGAGATAACAAGTGGACTGGATGACGTCTGGACTCATTAGACGACACTGTAATTATGTACCTAATATTTGTGACATTGGTAGCAGTACCTGGTAGTTGTAATATGGCTGGTTGATGATGCCTGCGATGGCCTTTCCTTCATAAGCAATCCCAATAAGAACCGTTACATTGTCAAGAAGACCTATGAAGGAAGGAATTAAGCACGTCACTCTCTCACGTTATGGTTACCACCAGTACATCCAACAAACAGCTGATAGTCTCATTATTATTATTATTTTATTTTTTGTGTTTTCCAGACAGGGTTTCTCTGTGTAGCCCTGGCTATCCTGGAACTCATTCTCTAGACCAGGCTGGCCTCGAACTCCTGCCTCTTAAGTGTTAGGATCAAAGGTATACGCCACTACCCCTGACTGCTAGTTATTTTTGCAGTAAAGGTAGGGGATCTGCAATGATTCTCCCACGGACAACCCTACTTGGAGCAAATGCAAAGCTCTAAGAGCTGGACAGAGACAGAAATGGGAATTACAGCTGCTAAACTGAATGGACAGCCATGACCACACTCTCCTTAGTACAGTCTGTAAACCTGTTAATGCCACAGTGGCAAAGCCATTTACTTTTATGCCTTTGGTTTTAATTCAATGCTTTCTGTTTTTTCTCACTTCTGGTAACCTCAGATGAGGGAGAGGGAGGGGGATGCTGTGGGACTGAGATGGGGGAGAGGGAGGAGGATGCTGTGGGACTGAGATGGGGAGAGGGAGGGGGATGCTGTGGGACTGAGATGGGGGAGAGGAAGGGGGATGCTGCGGGACTGAGATGGGGAGAGGGAGGGGGGTGCTGTGGGACTGAG